CCCCAACACAGCCCAAGAAAGCCCCAAGGGACCCGCAAGACTGCCTGACAGAGGGCCAAGACAGTCCCGAGAAGGCCCAAACGCATGTCATCAGCATTCTCCTCCTCCTCCTCCTCCTCCTCCTCCTCCTCCTCCTCCTCATCCTCCAACTCCTCCTCCTCCTCCTCCTCCTCCAACTCCTCCTCCTCCTCATCATCATCATCATCATCATCATCATCATCATCATCATCATCATCATCATCATCATCATCATCATCATCATCATCATCATCATCATCATCATCATCATCATCATCATCATCATCATCATCATCATCATCATCATCATCATCATCAGCATCATCATCATCATCATCATCATCATCATCATCACCATCATAATCAGCATCAACACCATCATCATCATCAGCAGCATCATCATCATCATCAGCATCATCCTCATCATCATCATCATCATCATCATCATCATCGTCATCGACATCGTCATCGCCATCGTCGTCATCATCATCATCATAATCAGCAGCAGCATCATCATCAGCATCAGCATCAGCAGCATCATCCTCCTCCCCTCCTTCTCCTCATCATCATGATCATCCTCAACAACACCACCAGCAGCATCAGAAGCATCATCATCAGCATCGTCAGCATCACGATTATCATCAGCATCATCGCCACCACCACAACCATCACCATCATCATCATCATCATCATCATCATCATCATCATCATCAAAATCATCATCATCAGCAGCATCATCATCATCATCATCACCAGCATCATCATAATCATCATCATCATCATCATCATCATCATCATCATCTTCAGCATCATCATCATCATCGTCAGCAGCAGCAGCATCACAAGCATCATCAACAGCGTCAGCATCCTCATCATCGACATCATCAGAATGATCATTATCACAATCCTCATCATCATCGTCGGAAGCATCATCACCACCGTCAGCATCATCATCATCAACATCAGCATCATCAGCATCAGCATCATCATCATCAGCAGCAGCATCATCGTCAGTACCATCGACATCATCGTCAACATTAGCATCATCATCGTCAGCATCATCGTCATCATCATCATCATCATCATCATCATCATCATTATCATCATCATCATCATCATCATCATCATCATCATCATCGTCATCCGCATCATCATCAGCACCACCATCGCCATAATCCACAGCATCATCTTCACCATCCGGATCAACCTCCTCATCAGCATCATCATCAGCCTCAGCATCAGCATCAGCAGCATCTGCATCATCATGATCATCACCAGCATCAGCACCAGCAGCATCGTCATCAGCACCAGCATCATCATCAGAATCATCATCATCAGCATCATCAGCATCATCGTCATCAGCATCATCATCATCAGCATCAATGGTATCACCGTCGTCAACGTCAGCCCTCATCAGCATCAGCATCATTTTCGTCATCATCGTCATCGTCACCATCGTCAGCATCATCAGCATCACCACCACCATCAACTTCATCCTCGTCATCATCAAACTCATCAGCATCAGTATCATCAACATAAACAGCATGACCACCATCATCGTCATAATCAGCATCAGCATCAGCATCATCACAACAACCAGTATCATAAGCATCATGAGCAGCATCAGCATGACCAGTATGACCATCGTCGTCATCATCGTTACCATCGCCATCATCATCATCATCATCAGCATCATCATCAGCAGCATCATCGGCATCGCCATCGTCATCATCAGCATCATCACCATCAGCATTATCAGCAGTTGCAGCAGCGGTAACAGCAGCATCATCAGCAGTACCATCACCATCAACAGCATCATCAGCATCATTAACATCATCAGCATCATAATCATCATCATCAGTATCGTCAGCATCAGCATCATCATCAGCATCATCAAAATCATCGTCATCAGCATCAACGCAATTAGTATTGCCGGTCATCACCTTTATCATCGTCATCCTCCTCGTCCTCCTCCCCCTCCTCCTCCGCATCATCATCAACACCATCACCATCCTCATCATAATCCGCATCATCAGCATCAGCATCAACAACGGCATACACCCCTCAACATAACCAAAATCTTCCTTACTCGCCACGTGTACGTATTTGGTGCAGCCCCTAAAACCAGGGAAGAGAGGACGGATGGAAGGGAGAGGGAGAAGGATGGAGCACGAGAGAGATTGACAGGAGGGGGGGAGGCTACGAGCAGACGTGGCACAACCAACCAGGCTGATCGGGCGGGCAGATCCTAACAGGAAGGCGGGCCCAGGCGGACAGGTCGAGCAGGCGGGTTGCTGAAGCAGAAATCCAACAGAAATCGCGAGGAGGTCTCAAGCGATAGCGTGATTCCCAAATACATGTTCAGAAAAATCAAAGCGAAAGAAAGATTACTGAGCGTCGAGGGCGCGGCGTCGCAATAAATCGCGAGGAAATCCCAGGCGATGGCGCGATTCCTGAATAAATGTTGAGGATGTCCCGCCCGAGAACGCGATTTTGGAATAAGCTGTGAGGAGGTATCAGGCGGGAACCATTGGTGCTGTAAACCGTGAGCCAAGGGCACAGTCTGAGGGAGACTGCCCCTTGAAAAAAACAGGGTGTGATCCCTGGGAGGAGCATATGAATAGAATTAGCCTGGCGAAAGACCCAATCGTATGCAATTGTGGGCACAGTCGTTGTATGCACCGCATTCGGTGGACCTCCCTGGGGGGCCACGAAACGTGTGAAGGGTGTGCCACATGGGTGCGGTGGACGAATGCAAGCGCTGCCATGTGGGCCTTCGGTGGGGTTCCCTATGGAACGACAAAACGTGTGAGGCGTGTCCCAAAATGGGCGCGGTGGGCGCATGCGAGCGCTGGCATGTGGGGGCATTCGGTGGGGCTCCCGATGGGGCCATGAAACGTGTGACGGGTGTGCAAAAATGGGTGGGGTGGGGGCATGCGAGCGCTGGCATGTGGGCCGTCGGCGGGGCTCGCTATGGGGTCAAGCAGCTATCAAGGGGTGTCCCAAAATTGGCGCGGTGAGCGCATGCGAGCGCTGGCACCTGGGCAATTGGTGAAGCTCCCTATGGGGCCACAAAACGTTTAGGGGTGTGTCAGAGTGAATGCGGTGGGCGCATGCGAGCGCTGACATGTGGGTCTTCGGTGGGGCTCCCTTTGGGTCCACGAAGCGTGTGAAGGGCGTGCAAAAATGGGCGCGGTGGGCGCATGCGAGCGCTGGCATTTGGGCCTTCAGTGGGGTTCCCTATAGGCCCACGAAAAAAGTGCGAGGGGTGTCCCAAAATTGGCGCGATGGGCGCATGCGAGCGCTGACATCTGGGCCTTCGGTGGAGCCCCCTTAAGGTGCCACTAAACGTGTGAGGGGTGTGCTAAAGTGGGGAATAAGGGGAGGAGGGAAGGTGGAGGGGAAGAAAAGGAGACGAGAGGAGAGGAGAGGAGAGGAGGTGGGACGCGGGGCGCGTCTCTTCATAACAAAGAACCAACACCACAGGAGGGTTGGGAAAAGCACCAGGTGCACCAGAGGGGGGGACCAACAAGCAGCTGTCTCTAGACATGAAGATTCAACAACAGCTTCATCAAGATCAGCATCAGCATCATCATCACCACCACCATCATCATCATCATCATCATCATCATCATCATCATCATCAGCAGCATCATCACCATCACCATCATCATCATCGTCATCACCATCATCATCATCAGCAGCAGCATCAGCAGCATCAGCAGCACCAGCACCAGCACCAGCATCAGCATCAGCATCAGCATCAGCATCATCAGGATCATCATCATCATCATCATCATCATCATCATCATCATCATCATCATCATCATCATCATTATCGTCGTCGTCGTCATCGTCATCGTCATCGTCATCATCTTCAACAGCATCACCATCATCATCATCATCAGCATCATCACCACCACCACCACCACCACCGTCCATCAGCAGCATCATCATCAGCAGCATCAATATCATCATCATCAGCATCACCATCCTTGTCACGGCTCTCCCAAGCCTGTAGACACGAGGTGTAACACGTGACGGCCTCCCTTGCCGCCTCGAGCAGTCGTCACCCAGAATGCTGGGCTGACACGGTGGCGCGACGTGCCGCAGGCTGGCGGGATGATAGACTCATCCACTGCCCGAGGCCTGACCCATCCTGGGCCTGAGAGCGGCGTATATGCCTCCCTGGCCAAGCCAGGAGGGGGTACACACCCTTCCCGGGCCCAGGATGGGCCAGGCCTGGGGTGGCGGATACAAATCGATCTCGTCACTCTAGCCCTGTAAGCCCGCACCAAAGATCACTCCAATGAATGCCACTCTTACGCGTAGCCGACTCCTACCTCCTTCCCACCCCAAGAAGAGCCAGGAATCGAATCGATCATTAGAGCCGGCGATCGCAGTGAATCGGATCGGCGGAAAAATCGGCAGCCAAGTCGGGAGAAATCAAATCGGCGGAAATCGGCAGACTGCTAAGGCCTCAATGGAGAAACCGAGATCCACATCGACACCCGAAACCGAACCGAACCAGAATCAAAATCGATCGAGATCGAACGGAATCGAGCCAGAGTACAGTCGGCCCGAATCATTAGGATGCGCGATGAGGATGCAAGGGCCTTGGACGCCCACTTCGAAGCTTCTCGAGCGGAGCGCGGCCAACGAAGGTGGCCGAGGATGGACCGAGGAGGCAAGGATGCAAGGGTACCCTTGCGAAGGATGCCCGTCCATATCATGCGGGTTGACTGTACATTACGTCGGGCATGTCCCCCTACAGCCGCGCTGTGGAGGAAAAATGAAAAATTGAAAGAAAGAACAAAAAAACGCATAAATAATCAAACATACTAAAAAAACGTCCCCTAACTATTTTTTACTGCTTCTGAATATTCCCCCTGTAGAGGGACACGTCCGATTTAACCTCATTACGCGGGTTGACTGTACATGAGCCCTGTCGCTCCCCTCCCCCCCAGGGGGTTGGCGGCGGCGCTCCTCTCCGAGGCGGCCCCGCCCTGGCCCTCCAGCGCGAGGGCGCACCGCCCCGCCGGCCACGCCGCGGGCGCCGCCGGGGGAGAGCCTGCGCCGACGTGTCGCCGTCGCCGGCGGCGGCGTCGTCGGCGGCGGCGAGGGCGGCGGTGGCGACGTCGACAGCGAGGCCGTAGCCGTAGCCGAGGGCGAGGGCGTCGTCTTCGTCGCCAGCGACGCCGTCGACGGCGTCGTCGACGTCGTCGACGGCGAGGCCGTCGTTGACGAGGACGAGGACAAAGACGTGGTCGTTACGTCGGCGGATTCATCGTCGACGGCGACGACGAGGACGACGGCGTCGTACCTCGCCGAATGCGACGGCAACGGCGATGATGGCGAGGGTGAGGAAGAGCGCGAGGGATGGGGGGGAGAGGAGTGGTGATGAGAGCGACAGAGGGGGGTGGAGGGGGGGAAGAAGATAGCGTGTGGGGAGTTAAGAAGGAGAGAGGAAGGAAAGAAGGAAGGAGGGGAGAGGATTATGTAGAAAGATATCGGGGAGAGAGGAGGATGAGGATGGCGTAGCACAAATCAGGGGAAAAGGGGGGAAATACTTGGAGGAGTGTCGGAGAGCCGGTAGGAGTGGGAGGAGAGAAAGGGGAGAAGAGGTAGCATGACCACAAGCATGAGCATGCGCGGGAGGGAGTATGGGAGGGAACGGGGGAGGAAAAGAAGAGGGGATGTAAAAGGGCGGATAGGAGGAATAAGGAACGGAGAACTGCTGTGTTCCTCCGACGAAGCGCTGAACGTGCCAGCTACGGAAGGGGCTGACGCCCCCACCGTCTCTCTCAGCTGAGTGAGGAATCCCGGATCGTTGAGAGCCCAACTCTCAAAGACGACCCCCTTCCGCCCTGTACAGTCGGGGCGTTGGCCTAAGGAACCCTAAATAAGGAACGAGGCCCTTTTTATCCATAAGTTGAACTTCGGCTTCCCACCGAAAACCTAAGGAAAACCTTAGGCAAGCTATGAAACAATCAAGGAACACCGAGCCCCTCCCTAACGAAAAGGGTTCCTTCGTCAGCGCCCCGACTGTACGCGGATGGGTGCCACTCTCGAAGTGATTCCGACGCTCGTTGCCCATCTTGTCCGGCATGAAGCCAGGACGCTGGGCGGGGCAATGTCGAGCCAGCCCTCTGGGCTGGAGCTGCGCATACGAAGAGCATGGAATCACCCTGCTCGGTCCCCATAGCGCGTGGGCGGAGGAAGGGAGGGAAGAGGAGGAGGGCGAGGATAGGACGGGGAAGAGAAGGATGATGGGAAGGGGGGACAGGGCAAGAACGAGAAAGACGATGAAGATAAAAGAAGGAGAGCGAGGAAAAAGGAGGCGGAGGGGAGGAGAACGAGGAGAAGGACAAGAAGGAGGAGGAGGAGTACGTTCAGGAGCGATAGGTTCTGGAGGAAGAGGGGGTGGAGGAAGAAGCGAAGGAGGAGGAGGGCTTTCAAGAGATAGGGTAAAAAAGAGGAGGAAGAGGAGGTGGGCGGCAGAGAGGAAGAGGAGGAGGAGGAGGACGAGGAGGACGAGGGGCAGGAGAAGGAGATGGATGGGAGAGCGAGGAAGGAGACGTCGATGATGAGTACGACTAGGAGAACACTGCGGGGCTCCTCCATCCTATGCCATCCTACTCCACATCCCCTCATGTTCATCCCCCTCCCTCGTCCTCTGCATCCATCCTTCAGCAGCGCTCTCCTCAGTTCTTCCTCCACGTCGCACTTCTGGCCCGCCTCCTCCTCCTCCTCATCATCATCATCCTCAGCGTCCTCATCCTCCGCATCATCACAACCACCACCACCACCATCGTCATCGTAATCATCATCGTCATCATCACCATCAGCATCATCATCCCCGTCGCCGTCCCCAGCGTTGTCGTCATCATCATCAGCACCACCACCACCACCTCCATCATGAGTATCACCATCATCATCACCAAAACCAGAACCAGAACCATCACCGTCACCATCACCATCCTCCTCATACTACCCGGCCCCAACCTTATCCTCATCGTTTTCTTTCTCGTCCTCATCACCATCAACATCAGGATAATCATGATCCTCGTCAGCATCATCATCACCACCATCACCCTCACCGCCACCACCACCTTCATCAGCAGCCTCATCATCATCGCCATCATCAGCATGATCATCATCCACATCGTCACCATGACCACCATCACCGTGCTAATCAAAAGTATCGTCATCATCCTCATACTCATCCTGGACCGACTCCTCCTCCGCCTGTGCCTCCTTCTCCTACCCACCTAGCATCATCATCATCACCATCAGCAGTATCAGCATCATTGATATCATCACCGTCATCATCAGCAGCAGCACCGTCATAAGCATGACCATCCTCAAAATCCTTCTCCGCCTCCTCCTCATCATCTTCCGCCTCAGCATCGTCACTCTGGTCGTCAGCATCATCACCATCATCATCATCACCATCATCATCATCACCATCATCACCACCATCATCATCAGCATCACCATCATCACCATCATCATACCGTCATCATCATCAGAATCATCAGCATCAGCATCATCAACATCATCATCACCACCATCAGCATCATCATCAGTATCAGCACCAGCATCAGCATCGTCAACATACACATCATACTCATCATCATCAACAGCATCATCATCAGCAGCAGCATCATTTCCATCAGCCATTACCTTCGGCACCATCATCAATTTCATCTGCATCAGCACCATCATCAGCATGCTTGGTAGCATCAGCACCATTCGTCCTCAACAGCATCATCAGCGTCATCGCCACATATTCGTCATCATGATGGTCGCCCCCGTAACCATCACCACTTATCGCCGTCATCGTCATCAGCATCAGCATCATCACGACCACCACCAACACTTGCATGATCATCAGCAGCAGCAGCAGCATCAGCACCAGCATCAGCATGATCAGCCCCACCATCGGCATCATAAGAATCAACAGCATCAGCAGCATCAGCATCATCAACCTCAGCAGCATCGTCAGCATCATCGTCATCGGCATCGTCAGTGTCGTCGTCATCATCAGCATCAGCATCATCATCATCATCATCATCATCATCATCATCATCATCATCAAGTTCATCGTCATCATCCGCATCATCAGCATCATCATCATAATCACCATCGTCATCAACATCGTCGTCGTCGCCCTAATCAGCATCACCGTCATTATCGTACATCCTCGCCGTCATCAGCAGCATCAGCGCCATCAGCAGTATCGACATCTTCACGATCGCCATCACCCCCACCAACAATTCCATCGACACCAGCATCATCAGAATCACCATCATCATCAGCAGCAAAAGCACCATCACCAGGTTAATCGCCATCATCGCGATCATCCTCAGCAGCATCATCAGCATCATTGTCAGCATCGTCATCAGCGTCAGCCTCATCATCATCAGCATCATCATCATCAGCATCATCATCGTCATCGTCATCGTCATCAGCATCATCATCAGCATCGTCATCATAAGCATGACCATCATCATCTGCTTCGCCATCCTCATCGACCGACTCGTCCTCATCCTCCTCCTCTTCTCCGACGTCATCATCACCGTCATCTCGTAAGTATGATAACCACCCCATGTCTTAGCCGCATCATCACCACCAACATTAGCATCAGCAACAACGCCATCGTCATAAACAACACCGTCATCATCAGCATCAACATCATCATCATCATCATCATCATCATCATCACCGTCGTCGCCATGGTGATCATCATCAGGAGCAACGACATCATGATAAACAACACCTTCATCATCATCGCCGTCATCATCATCACCGTCGTCGCCATCGTCATCATCATCATCAGAATTATTATACTCACAAACGCCCTCGCTGTCGCCATAGCATCCTCGACATCATAATCGCCATCCTTATCCTCCTTATCTTCCTCGGCCTCGTCCACCTCACCGTCGTCGCCATCAGCATAATTATCAGCATCATCATCAGAAGCAGCAGCATCGTATTCATCATGGCCATCGTCTTTATCCTGATCAGCATCATCAGATGCATCAACGTCACCATCATCGTCACCGTCCCCATCATCAGCAGCAGCATCAGGATCGTCATCACTCCCGTCACAATCCAAAGCATTGTCGTCACCATCGCCATCATCACCACCACTACCTTCATCATCAAGATCATCATCACCATCATCATAGTTATCAACATCATCCTTCTCTTCTTCATCCTCATTCTCATCATCGTCCACCTTCTCGCCGTCATCATCACCACCATCACCATCTCCATCCTCATTACCACTACCACCACCATCTCCGTCATCATCACAATCAGCACCAACACCATCATCATCATCATCATCATCATCATCATCATCATCATCATCATCGAGATCACCATCACCATCCTCGTCATCACCATCATCATCCTCATCCGTCTTCTCTTGCTCATCCTCACCCTCATTATCATCATCCCCCTCCTCACCGTCGTCCTCTGCCTTATCCTCCTCCTCCTCCTCATCATCATCATCAGCATCATCATCAGCATCATCAGCAGCATCTTCATTATAATCATAACCAGAATCATCAATATCAAAAGCATCATTGGCAACAACACCAACATCGCCGGAATCTTCATCCTCCTGTTCAAAACCATCCTTGGCAGCAGCATCGCCATGCCGCCTCCCCCTCCTCCTCTTCCTACTCCTCCTCCCCCTCCTCCCTCCCCCTCCCCCCGTCCCCCCATACAGTCATCGGCCTGACCTAAGAAACGATAAATAAGGAAAGAAGCCCCTTTTTTCCTAATAAGTCTACGAAGTCCGAAGGAACGGCCGACCCGCGCGTCCAAAATCTGAAGGTACACGAGGGGGGCTCGCCGCCAAAAAGGTAGCGGAACGAACGCAAGCCTAACGAACGACCGAGCCCCTTTTGAAAAATAAGTGTTCCTTATTCCAGCCGCTCACCTCCCCCCCTCTTCTTCGCTGTCGCTCCCTTCTGAGAAGGGAGCGACAGCGAAGGGGAGAATCTCCCGCCTCGGGGATCTTCTGACCCGTGCTAATCCAGACCCGGGTCAGTCAGGCCTCGCAGAATCCTGCAAAACCCTGCAAGATCCTGCACCCAAACCTGGGCCCATGCGAAGGACTCTGCAAGAGCCTGCAGTATCCTGCACCTACACCCGGTTCAGTGCGACCCTGGCCCTGCAGGACCCTGCAAGATCCGGCGCTCTGGCTGACCCCCTTTTGCATCGACCCCCGTCTCTTGAGCCCCGACCTCGGCGGCGACAATAGGGGCGAATAGCCCAGGGACGGGCATGACACGCACTCGCCTGGGAGCCTTCTCGAAGACATAGATCATCGGCGCCCCTGGATACGGCAGGTTCGTGTCGTGCCGACCCCAGCGTTGGTTTTTGACACCGCAGGGATCGTTCAACCTTGAACGATCGGCCGCTGCCGCAACGTCCAATCGTTCAACATCGATCGATTCTGGGTCGCCGGCGGCGTTCAACCTCGAACGTCCGCGCTGGGGTCGCCGCTGGTCGACACGACGCAAGCCTATCGTACATGGATTGCTCTCCCCTGGGCTGTTCGCCCTCATCCTCGCCTCTGACGACCTCCCACCTTCGTCCCTCTGCCGGCGGTGGGCGGCCTGCTCGCAGCCCGGCGCCGCGGTCTGCCGCCGGCGCGGGCCTGCGCCCCCGCCCCCCCGGGCGGCACGGAGGCCGCTGCACTCCCGCGGCACGCCGCTGCGGCCCGGACCTCCTCGGCCTTGTCCTCCTCCTCCTCCTCCTCCTCCTCCTCCTCTCCTCCTCCTGCTCCTCCTCCTCCTCCTCCTCCTCCTCCTTCTCCTCCTCCTGCCCTCCTCCTCCTCCTCCTCCTCCTCCTCCTCCTCCTCCTCATCCTCCTCCTCCTCCTCCTCCGCATACCTTCTCCCCCCCCTTCACCTCCTCGTCGTCGTCCTCGTCCTTCTCCCTTTTCCGAACACCTCCTCATACCTCCCCCCCCCTCATCCTCGTCCTCCCACGTCCATTCTGTCCTCATCCTACCTACCTCCTCCTCCCTTCCACCCTCGCTCCCTCCTCCCTTCCCTCCCTCCCTCCCTCCCTCTTTCTCCTCCCTCCTTCTCCCTCTCCCAGCCTCGTTTCCCTCTCATCCTCCTCCCCCTTCGCCTCCTCCACCTCCTCCTCCTGCACCCTGGTCCTTCTCCTAAGCCGTCATCCCATCAAAACAGAGATCCGCACGCCAATCAAGTTGGTTGGTCATGCTCAGCAAGCTCGACGGGAAGGCAACAAGACTGGCAACCAGAGGGAATCGGCGGACACTGGCCTTGCCTGAACGCGTAGTGTAGTTGCCTGGACTGCCTGGCACCAACACCCCGACAGCTGGCACGTCACGTTGTTTGAGCTGCACGAGTGAAGTTTACCTTGCCACCACGGACACGCACGGAGTTTCACAGGCTCAACAAGCAGGCATATCCTATGGGGCCCATCACGCGAAACCCTATCGAGGCGTCTTGGGGACCTCTTGCGCCGTGCTGGGGCTATCTTGAGCGCTCCTGGTGCCCTATTGGGAGCGTCTTCGGGTCCTCTTGGAGTCCTCTCGGGCGGCCTCCTGGGCCGTCGGTGGGTGCTCCTGAGCTCTCGAGGCCTCTTGCGCTCTCTGGGAGCGCTCCCCGGCGCCCTCCTGGGCCATTTTCTGTCTGGAACGCCTGTGGGTGTCTGGGGTGCTCTCCGGCAGGGAGGCAAGAGCAGGCACCAGAACGGCAAGGCAACTCAGTGAGGCGAGCGTGAAACCGTTACGCCTACCTCTTGAAACGTGAGGCCGAGAAAGCATGAGCCCCATGGTGGAGAAGGAAAGCGAGAGACGCATGGCGAAGAGGACGGGGAGATACGCCATGCAAAAAGAGGGACACTAGCCTCCTCGAGACTGGGTGGGTGAGGGCCTCTGCAGCCCACCCTGTTTCTTGACGAATGCTCGGCTTGGCAAATTAAGAATCAAATTAAGCGAGAAGAATACTTACGCAGGGCACAAGAGGTACAAGCGCCCAACCCCAGCATATCTGGCCAATCGCCCGACGTCGTTTTGCGCCAGGCGAAAAGGAACATGCAGTGGCTCCTAGAACGAATTGATGCGCAAGAAGAGAGCTAGCACAGCAAATGGCGGCGCAGCTATCGTACACGCACTGCAGAACGCCTGCCGAGGAGAAAGAAATCTCTGACGGTGCTAACCAACCGCCTCGTTCGGGGAGACGTAAGACTCGGGTACAGGGGACTCGGGTTGGCCTGACGGGGCCATCATGAAAATGACGAGACCCAAGCTTAAGATTCGACGCGAGCTCCCGCTGCTGCAAACATCCCACGAAAACTGGGCCGACAAAATCCAGGACGCGCTCGTCAAAAAACTTCGGCTAACCCGAGTTCCGGCTTACACGAGTCTTACGTTTCCCCAACTCGTGCCAGCACGCAGTACTGGCAGCGACTCGGACGACTCGTATCTGCACACCCTCAGCAAATGGCTGATTGGATGATTGGAGGCGGGGCAGGCACGCCCCATTTTGGGTGACCCAGAAGGTGGTCCAGCTGCAAGGGGGTGGTGCAATAGATTTGGGGCACGTGTACTGCAAATGTGTTGCGCCGGAGAATTGGATTGCACTGCATTGCAAGCAATGTGTTGCGCGCGAAAATCTAGCAATACATTTGCGCCGCGGAGTGTATTGCACGCCCCGAATGTCCTGCAACCCCAGGAGACTATTGCACCAAATCTATTGCACCACCCCCTTGTCGCTGCACCCCCTTTTGGGCCAACCCGACCCATGCGGTCAGACAGGGCTAAACGCCCGGCGAGCGTCCGGCATGTTCGGCGGATCGGTCTCGCTTTGTGGCGGCACAAGGCAGCGCCAACAGCCCCAAAAACGTGAACCGACGCGCGACAGCGCGACGCAGCTGCGCGAAGCGGTTGTCACGCGCTCACGCTGGGGCCCTCATGCCGCCCACTCCGATCCGGCGCCCGCTCGGCTCTGCGACCCTGCCTGCACCACCCTTTAGAGACCCCGCCGACACAATCCTCCACGCTGTCGGCGCGGCTGGATCACGCGTCGACAGCGTGGTGGTCGACGCGGCAGGCAAGCGTTGACGCCTCCGACGAGCCCGTGGCGGCCTGGGCCGCGCGCAGCGCATCGAGGCGACGACGGTGCACATGGCCGGCGGCCTGGAGCCCCTCGACCCAGGCGGCCTTGCCCACAACGGTGCTCTCGAGGGCAGCAGGCAGGCACAGCTCCACATGCAGGCCCTTCTCCGCGATCTGCTTCACGGCCTTGCCCAGGGCGTCCGAGCCGTCCTTGTCGACGCGGGACGTCAGGTCCAAGGAGACCACGATGGCTTTGGGCAGGCGCTCGAGCAGCACCCTCAGCCGCGCCTGGTGCTTCTCCTGGGTCAGATAGGCGAGGGGGCCAACCGGCTCGTACACCACGACGCACGCGCTGGCTCTATCAAGGACGCTCCCATCAGAATGGTGCACTCGCTGGCTTCTCCTCGCAGACCCCGCCAGCGACCCCAGGATCGCCGCCACGGGCGACGGCCTCAGCGACAGCCGAGGGTCGCGGTGGTCCACCTCGACCGTGCAGGTTGCCGTCTCGTGCGCCCAGCTCGGGGTCATGCTCGGATGCTGACCGCCGTGCTCGCTGCAGACTGCCTGCTTCTCACCCACCACGCTCGGAGTCATGCTCGGATGCTCATCGCCCCCCATGCTGAAACCGTCCTGCTTCGCGCGGCTCTCCTCGTCGGCCTCCCCCGAGTAGAGCGACAGACGGGACTCGGCCAGCGCCGTCTGGGAGGCGTCGCGAAGCAACGCGAACACCATACCCAGAATCAGGCCGTAGACAGGGTCCGTGAAGACGCAGATCAGGCAGGTGAGCACCAGGAGGCCGAGCCCGCCCTGGTCCGTCTTCCAGAGATTGACCACGTAGCGGACCGGGGCCATGCGGACGGAGGCGAAGATGAGAAGCGCGGCCACAGAGCACTGCGGCAGGTACGAGAAGACCGGCATGACAGCCACGGAGATGACGAGCACCACGAGAGCGTTGATGACCTGCGACATCCTGTGGGTGGCACCCAACGAAAAGTTGAGGGCAGTCCTCACAAAGACACCCGTGGGAGGCATGGCGCCCACCGCACCGCAGACCGCGTGACAGATCATGATAGCAAACGTCTCGCGGCTGTCGTCGAAGCCCCAACCCGTCTTCTGCTCGGCGATCTTGGCCGAGATCAGCGTCTCGAGCACGGCCACGAAGGCAATGCCGAACGCCGCGGTGAAGATGCCGAAATAATTTCCCTGCGCGTAGTGTTCCAGGGACCGCTCTGGGGGTTCGACGATCCTCGCCTGCAACTCTCCGTACTTGTCCTTGAGCGTCGGGATGCGGATGCCGCCGAGGTTGCCCGAGTCGGAGAGGAAGCCGAGGATAATCGTCAGGAGCGGGATGATCACCGTCCACGGGATCGGCTGGCCCTTGACCTTTGGTACCCACTTCACGAGGGATAAGAGCAGCACCGTGAGGATCACAAAGGTGATGGCTGGCGCCCAGCTTAGCTCATCCAAAACCTTAAGGGACTCGATAACGTTCTCGTAAAAGTGTTCGTGCTTCGGGCCTGCGGGCTGCAAGTCAAACGCCATGTTCAGCTGGTTCAGGCCGATGATGAGAGCGACGGCCAGGGTGAAGCCCTCAAAGACGGCCGTGGGCATCAGCAACAAGTAACGCTGCAGGTTCAGCATGTAGATAACGAAGATCATGCAGGCCGAGAGGAGGGACAGATGCGGCAGGACCCCGATGCCGTTGTACTTGATCGTGTAAGTAGCAAGCATGCCGCTCAGGGCGCCAGCGGGCCCGATGATGTTGTGGTCGCTGGAGCCGAACAGTCCTGCACAGATGCCTCCCCAGAAGGCGGTGGCAACACCCATTGTCGGCGCGGCGGGGTCTGCGCCAGCTACCGACGCGATGCCAAGCGAGATCGAGAGAGGCACGCTGACCATCGCCACGGTGAGCGCCGCCTGCCAATTCTCCAAGAAGACGTGGTGGGCGAGCTTGACGCCAGTCAATGTTTTCAGCCGGGGCATTCTCACGATCGTCTCAGTACCAGCGGCGGATTTGCTGTGATTTGGCAACTGTGCCAGAGTCATCGCGGGCCCACGAGGTGTGTAGAGGGGGTGAACTGCCTTGCGGAACCAAGAACGTCACTTCCGCGAGCCTTAAGACTGGGGCCTAAATTCTTGAGCCAAAACGGCTACGTGACGCTTCCTTGGACCGCATTGGAGCCTTCTTGGGCAGTCTCGCGGCCCTCTGGGGCCGTTTTGGCGCCATGTTTGGGGGTCTCCTGGAGGCCTCGTGAGTCGTCTTGGGCGTTCGGAAGCCAGGAATAGCGACACACACAAACATACACACACACATCCTGCAAATGTATGTATATGTGTGTTGTTTGTTTAATGTTTTTTTTTTTTTTTTTTTTTAAAAAAAAAAAAAAAAAAAAAAAAAAAAAAAAAAAAAAAAAAAAAAAAAAAAAAAAAAAACAAAAAAAAAAAAAACTGGAAATCAGTGACTCTGGGAGCCTCAGGGCCTCTTTGGGACGCGCGGGGGGCTCTCCCGGGGCGTCTTGGGGACCTCGTTTGGGCCTTGCGGAGGCCACGTGGGGCGCTCGTGG